GGTGTCTTCCTCAGTGGGAGGGTGAGCAGAAAAGCTGTGGTGGGCTTCCTTGCCAGTGAGGCTGTGGAGGCCCCAGCTGTGGTTCCCTGGCAGGCTGGGCGGGGGGCCGAAGAAGGAGAGGAAGGGAGCCGGGTGAGCTGGGAGCGGAGGCTGGAGCTGTGCCTGGTTTCCCTGGGTATTCAGCTGGGGCATGGCTGGTATTTCTGAGGCCCCTCTGAATTCCCTCACATTCTCCACTTCCGGCCCTGGCGCTCTCTGTTTCTGCTGGCCTGTCTCATCACATATGGACACGGGGAGCCACGGGCCACGTCAGGGACAGGATGGAATCAGGACTTCCTGTCATTGCCTAAGAACAACTTACAATTTGCCATGAGCTCTCTCCAGACTGATAGGTCTCGGTCAGGGGTCGCCTCCTCCGAGACTGGGTGAGGTGCCTCTTTGGGGTGTCCCCAGGGCCTGCTGTGTGGCCCTCTGGCTTACTGTTAGACTGGCAGGCAATTTCAGGCAGTGTCTTCATCTCCCTTTGGACTGGGAGTTTCTGGAGGGGTCGTCCCCAGCATCCAGCAGTGTGCCACATACAGCAAATGCTTCATGATGGAACAGTGGCTGGGTCACGAATGATGAACTCTGCCCTTGAAGATGAGGGATGGCACCTCACCAGCCTTCATTCCCTGTGGTGGCCAGCACAGGGCTTTGCATGTAGTGGTGGCTCAGTGAATGAGTGCAGAAAGTACGTTCTCTGGGAGCTCCTTACGACGAAGATTAATTCATGGTGTTTGAGTACGTCCTAAGCGCTATCATAGGTTCCAGGAGGTTTTTGCAAAGAAGTGTAAGGCATAGTCCCTGGCTTCTTAGAACATATCTTATTAGCTGTTCAAGTTAAAATAAAGGTGTTAAATTATAGTACAAGTCATGTAATAACTCAGGGCTTAAATGGGCCATCCAGATGGGTGTTAGAGTTGATACCCGAGCTGTAGGGCCGGTGCCATGGCCTTGTGATGTGAGAGTTGCACAGAGCCCTGTGCTGGGGCTTCATGCTCTGCTGTTGCCATCTTGAAATTCTTAAAATTTGAACAGAGGGCCTTGCATCTTTAATTTGCACAACACCTTGCAATTATGTAGCTGGTCCTGACCCCAGTTATGTAGGTGGTCCTGGCTACAGGTCCAAGGTGACCAGGAAAAGCTCCATGGTGGAGATTTGGCCGGGTGAAGATGAACAGCAGAGCTGGGCCGGAACTCTCTGAGGATGTGGCCGTCCCTGTGTCGAGTCTGGGGCAGCGCTGCGTACCTGCTCAGGACCCGCCTGTGGGAAGAGTCGGGGGTCAGGGACCTCCTGCCTTTTGGATCCCAAAGCATGCCTGTCTGTGAGGAAGTGGTGGCTCTGAAGATGGGGCCCACATGGGGCCTGGTCTGCCCGTGCACAAAGGAGCATGTTCACCCCTTCCCAGGGAGGCCTGGAAGAGCTACTTGGAAAAGCGGCCTGGCCTTGTTTGCTACACTAGAGTTACTCTCCTTTCTGGAGTGTGGTGGGTGGACACTCATAGGGCTGCTGGGAAGCCCAGAGGAGAAACACAACGGCAAGCAGTTCTGTAAGCAGGAAAAAGGGCATCTTCCCTGGAGCCAAGCATAGTTCCTGGCACTGCAGGGCCCTCTTTCGGTCAAGTGTTGGGGTTGAGAACCCATTCTTAGTGGTCCGGCTAGTGCTTGTCTATTGGAGGACAGGGTCCAGGTCATCCAGGAAGCATAGCCAACCTTTGTTCTCCCGGGGCACACAGCCTCTGTAGGGGACGGGACGTCTACACACAAGACCTCCACTCCTGCTTTCTGACACACCGGGGCTCGAAGTCCAGCTCTCCTTCTACTTACCATCTGCGTCTCTCGTGCAAATTGGGTCCTTTGTCTGGGCATTTACAACACAGCACTGCCGGGAGAGTGCAGAATGAGCAGCACGGCAAGTGCCCAGCTCAGTGCCTGGCACACTGTAGGGGGACATTGTTACTGTTACTAAGAATCCAATCTGTGTCTAGGGAGGTCAGAGAGGGAGGGGACTCACAGGCCAGCAGGGCTGGAGGAGGAGCTGCTGCTTCTGGAACCACAGCTGGGATAGAGGAGAGCCCTGAGCGAGGGCACGTAGCGCGTCCAGAGTGAGTGGCGTGTGAAGCCTGCAACTCAGCGAGCAGCATAGAGAATCCTGCGCCCCCTGCCGTGGTGCCGGCAGATGGGGAGGCCTTTGCGTTGTTGTCAGGGCCAGGTGTGGGGAAGGTGAGGGGGCTGGGGGGATCCTTCAGCCGAGTTCCTTACGGTGGCTCGCCCTGGTGAGGCCCCAGCAAGGTATGCTGATCTGGGACCAAGCAGGGGTCAGGGTTCCCGGCGGAGAGGGGCCCGGCCTCTGCTCTCCCGTGCCCTGGAATGTGCCCTCACACTGGGGCTCTCCTTTCTGTCTGCTGGTGTCTGGGCTTTCCTGTCCAGTCTCCCTTCTTCCTCCATAATGAAGGGAAAGTGGGACCACACCGGACATTCACAGTTGCCCCGGCTCAGCGTGGCCTCGGCCCACCCTGTCCTGCTCCTCTCAGCAAAGAGGCTGCCAGGCTCAGCCATTGGGGCTGTGTGAAGAGTGACCCTGGGCAACTTTCCTAACTTCTCTGGTCCTCAGTTTCCTCAGGAATACACTTGGTGGGACTTGGAAGTGCCAGGAGATGATGGAAAGAATGCAGTAGCATCTTGCTGAGGAGGTGCTAGGGCAGGGTACTTGCTGTGTGTCCCTGTAAGTGCTGGCAGAGCCAGGAAGCCATCCTCGGAGGTGAAGAGACATGGGTGCCTGGCTGCTGGTTCCTGGTGAAGCAGACAAGAAGTGCAGATAGGGTGGAGGCATGTCCCCTTGGGCAGTCCTGTGGAGCGTGTGGGATCCAGGCGGGCACAGAGGGGCCTGTTTCAGGGCGCGGCTGACTGGGGTACCTGAGGTGTGGGGCTGTGGGCAGTTTGTGCAGAGTGCAAAGTGGCTTGGTCTTGTGGATATTGAAGGAGCTCACATTTACCGAGTGCTCACCATGCCCTGGTATCCGGAGCGCTTTACATGGATTGCCTCCTTCAGTCCCCAGAAGCGCCATGAGGTGTGTGCACTCATCATCTCCATCCTGCGGGAGAAGTGGACCTTCAATGTCGCCTTGGCTGTGGCTCCCACACAGCCTGGCTGCGGAACCCTGTAGGTGGGCACTTCCTGCCCTTGCCTGAGCCCCACTAGAATCCTGGGGCCCTGGACCACAGGGGTCTTGACGGGTCCCGCATCTACTGCCTTCCCTAAATGGGGATGGCAGCCTGACCCTGTGGTCCTATATGCACCGACCTGGCTGTTCTGATGAACCTGCCCCAGGTGTGGGAGCCAGGCAGGGAAGAGGCATCAGCCTCGAAGCCTGGCTTTCTGTCTTCAGGACATTCTATATAGAGGTGATGGTGTTGACAGGTATCGGGAAACACAAGTTTTCCTCCCCAGTGCATCTGTCCCTGTTTATTCAGGATGTGGTAAACCTTTGGTTGTTGTCCTGGCTTAATTAAGTAGAAAAAAACTCAGTACTCTAAAATTTTGGTACACTTCAAATATGTTTTATTACTTTTCTTTTTGTCTTAGAAAGAATATCAAACCTGCATGCAATGCTAACGGTTTCTGACATTTACATAGCATATGACACAATATGCAACACGGCACATACTGAAGGGACATGTGTAGAGGGGGCCTTCCTAAGAGTATATTTACAAAGGGAAAGGCGTGTGGTCATCTTAAAGAGGGCTGCACCGAAGGAGGACTGCACTGTTTAACACTGAAGAATTACGTGGGGAATCACAGATTGCTTTAGTACTGCATGTTCCATTGTCATGAGGAGAAGAAACATGCTTTGAAGGTTTTCCCTCGTCAACAGCATGTGTATCTGTAGCTGTATATTGTACGTGTATTTGTATATTTTTAAGTTTTCTCCTAAGATTTTCGCTACAGCATCAGTAACTCCACGTGGTTTTGAAGCAGTGAAACTTTCACAAATGCTCAGGTTGGAGAGAAGACCCAAGGACCATTCCTTAAGGACCTTCCTTAAGGACCATTTATTTGCCTCGCCATCCCAGGATCTTGGAAATGTTTCCTGGAATGTGTAAAAATTAGCCCTGGGGATGAAGCACATTTCTGTGGCAGCCAAACTTGAGTTCCTCAGAGAACAGATGCAGAGAGATCTGTTCCTGCTTGCCGGACAATTGGGACCATTGGGACCGCTGCTGAGTCCCCCTGAGGCTGTGACTGACCATGAGCCCAGGAGAGCTTGTGGCAGCTGTGCCGAGGCGCCAGGACCTCTGAGCAGAAGCTTCCCGCGCTAGGAAGGGAGCAACGCTGCTATGAAATGTCTCAAGTTTCCTGTTCCTCCTAGGTGCTTATAAAGCTCAGATGTATAGTGATGTCTGGACAGATACAAAAAAGCATTTTTTTTTTTTTTTTTTTTTTTAAAAAAGGGGTCAATTTGAAAAGAGAGAAAGAAAAGATCAGTTAGGGTGCCAAGGTAAAAAAGGAGAATTGCATTTGTCAGAATGGAAAGGCAAAGATAAATTTGAGGCATCTCTGGTCTTTAAGATTCTGAGGCTTAGAGACAGAACCATGATGAGAGTTGATGAATGTGAAGGAGAAAACAACACTGTCTACTTTTCCAACTCGGGAATCAGGGCGACGGCAGGTTAAGAAGGATTGGCCTCTTCATTTTTCACACAGTCTCCTTGATTTACCTTTTTCTAAAGTCACTTTTTTTTTTTTTTTTTTTTTTATAAAGGAAAGGCATGAGTTTCTCCCCTCTTCGATAAAAAGCAGCTTGTGACGAAATCTGGAACACAAGAGACAAGGGTCTCACATCTGGAAGCCTTTTGCACACAGCTATAAAATGTAAGAACTGACCCCTGGTAAAAAGTGCTTTGTAACAATATTTAATTTGTGTCTTATGCCTGTGAGAAAGAAAGGGTTTGTTTTTTTCATCTGCAAAGCCCTTTGCTTGTGTCCCAACCGGTGTGAAGCTTTCCCATCAGGGGTTTTTCACCCTATTCTTCGTAGACCCTGGGAAGAGAAAACACCCATTTCAGTGGCTCAGGACGAGGCAGGAAATGCACAGGCCGGTGTCTGAGCTTCTCTACACCTGGCCTGGGGAGTGCCTCTCCCAGGACCGCAGGAGCCCAGGAGAAGCAGGGGACACTTCAGAGGAGGCCAGCACATGGGCATAAAAGCTCACCTGAACCTGGCTCTGTCCTTTCTACACAGCCTCCGCCTCTGCAGTTTCTTTTTATCCTCAAAGCTCTAGGAAGCAAACCTTCTTGGTATATGAGGAAACTCAGAAACAAGAGACTGAAAGTCTGCCCAACGAACACTGAATGTCAATGGTGGGAATGACCTCTGTCTCCGACGTGGATGGGGGGAGGGGCAGAGGCATCCCTTCCCTCCATTTAGGCTTGTGTCTTTCTTTGTATTTAGCCCAAGAACACATGTTCTCCAGAAAAAAATGCCAGTTCCAGAAGCCGCTGCCTGAAGACTGAAGGGCGGTTAGTGGGGCTGGGGCTGCCACAGAGGCCCGTGGCTCAAGGTCACTTCCTTTAGTAGTTACCAGGCCTGTGAGCACTCACAAGCTGGCTTCCCCCTCACCTCCGCAACCATCTCTAGATACTTAAATCCCTTCCTTTCTGCCGCATGGCTGCCGTGGGACCATGTGTCACACCCAGGTCGTCCCCTGCTCCTTCCGCCTCTTTCCTGATTTCTGAGTAATTATGCACTGACGTCAAATGCCTGCTGCTGCTGCTTCTGGTGGCAGCCGGAAGCTCTGGCTCTGAGCTCCTGGAAGCCCTCTAGTCTCGCCCCACAGCCTGGGCCGGCCGCTGCCTTCTGTTGTCTCTACTCTAGGTTCAGCATTCTCTCTCTCTCTGTCTCTGCAAAGAGGACTTCAAGATGGTTCCTTTATCTCCACAAAGACATTTTCAACCTGTACAGAGGGAGGGGAGGCGAGGAGGACAAGGGAATGCCCACATCCTCTCCCAGGACACCTCAGCATTCCAAGAAGGAGGGATGGACTCATTTTGTAAGGGAGTGATGGGAGGCCTGGTAGCAGAGGTGCCCTTACCGCCCTCATCTATGGATTTTGCAGGAACAAAAAGAGCAGGGCTGCATGGACCCAGGCTTGCCTCCTTTTCATCAAAACTGTGGCCCCAGGTGGAGGGGTTGGGACAAAGGCTGGATCTCCCAGCAACCTGATGAAGACTTGCCAGCGCCTCTGTGAACCGGCCCTGCAGTCAGCCTCACTCCACTTCTGATGATGCAGGGCCCGGAGGGTGACTGGACAGGAGGTGTCCTGTGTTTGTCATGTGAGCTGCCTGCCCTGACCAGAAAGAGGGCTTCATTTCCAGTAGATTTATGGAAAATAATCTCTTGCTCTCATCACTTTCTATTTCAAGCAATTGTGGATGAGGCAGTTTTGGAGGCAGCACAAAAGGTTCAGGTACTGGGGTTGGGCCCAAGTGTCAGCTGTGGGAGAGCTGGTCATGGGCTGAGCTTAGGGAAGTGCTGGGGGTGGCGGGGAGGAGGGGAGATGGGAGGGTGGTGTCGGTACCTGCTGGAGGGAGGGGAAGGTGATGCCAGGAGACCTAGTTTCCTGACTTGTGCTCCCAGACAAGTCACTCCCCCCAACTTAGCCTGTGTGGGATGAGTTGCAGGCACCAGCTTCTGAGGAGCTCACCTGTGTGTGTGTGTGTGTGTGTACGTGTATGTGCACGCTTCCCTGGTCATGCTCTGCAGATTCAGGTGTAAACAGGCTCTGAGTGTGTGAGGAGTGGGTCTGCTCTAGGACAGGCTCACCTTTATGTAGCACAGGGGAGCCAGGAACTTGCCTCCCCCTCTGAGGCCAGACATGGGACCCCAGGAGATCAGAGATGGGAAGCCATTTTCTGATAATGGGAGAACAGCCCAGACCAGGTTGGGGTTAGGGGTCTAGTTCAGGACTCTGGTCATCTGGCCACTGCTGCCCCCTGAGGGTAAGAGCGG